CTTTTTCACTTTCAGTATCTGTATCTTTTCCCTTGAGTTTCTTTGAATCTTTTTTGGAATCTTTTTTTCCACTTTCTTTTTCACTTTCAGTATCTGTATCTTTTACCTTGACTTTCTTTAAATCTTTTTTGGAATCTTTTTTTCCACTTCCTTTTTCACTTTCAGTGTCTGTATCTTTTCCCTTGACCTTTTTTGATTCTTTCTTGGAATCCCTTTTTCTACTTCCTTTTTCACTTTCAGTGTCTGTATCTTTTCCCTTGACCTTCTTGGAATCTTTTTTTCCACTTCCTATTTCACTTTCAGTGTCTGTATCTTTTCCCTTGACTTTCTTGGAATCTTTTTTTCCACTTCCTATTTCACTTTCAGTGTCTGTATCTTTTCCCTTGACTTTCTTGGAATCTGTTTTTGCAACATCAATTTCGTCTCCAGATTCTATATCCACATCCTTGCCTTTCTTTTTTTTTGATTCCTTTAAAACTGTGAGTTCTGTTTCTGAATCTGATTTGTCCTTTTTGGATGCTTTCTTGCCTTCTTTAACTTTCTTGTCCATATCTGGAGTTAAATATTTCTCTGCATCAGATCCTTTGGAATCCATGGAGGTATAAGTTGGCTTGTATGAGGACTGCCTCCTGGAAGCTAAGTAAACAGATGGTCTCTCGGATATTGTCATTAGGGAACGATGCATCCATAATGGTCGTCTTTGACCTTGCCTTACATTTTCTTCACCATATTTCTGAAATATTGTTTAGAATAATGATGAACAAATTATGTGTGAGCTACACAGTCTTTCTTATGAGATACCAAATACATTTTAACTTCAACCATGAAAAAGTTAAATTTTGATAAATAGTGGGCAAACTTTAGGTTTTATACTTAATGCTGCATTTTTAATTTCATTCTTATTTTGACCTACGGTTAGAACTCATCCAATTTCAGTTGAGGGGACCTTCTTAATTCCCTCAAAATTTTATATTAGAATTGGTATAAACATATAATGAATCAGGACACATCAGGAGAGGGTTTTCTTTTGCTTTGTTTTAAAATATTGTGTTACTGAGAATTCTTGGAATATCTTGCTTACCACCCTCCTTTCCTAAAGTAGCTCAGGAACTCTTCTCTATTTGTTGACACATAGTTTCAGGCATTAGGCATAGCTTGGTTTCAATTTTTACTTTCAAGACCTCTGAAAACTAGAAAGTTATACATGTTGAGGCTTTCTACTCCCGTAAAGATTTACATCCTCGGAAACCTTGTACAGGGTCGTTATGGGTCAGAACCAACTCTAAGGCACTTAACAACAACAATACATGTTTAAAGGTAAAACTTTGAAATACCTCTTTCTTGGCTTAAATAAAACGAGTATCATCAGATAAGTAAGAGACAAACAGCAACATTTAGTGGGTATTTATTCTTAACTTCTCACCAAATGTATGGTAAAAATCAATGTTAAAATAAGTATTTTTTATAAAAATGTTAACAATGAAAATATAAATTCAATTGGAAGTTATTAAATTAAAAGATACAAGAAACCTGGATAACCACTGATAGAAAAAATGTTAACGTTTTGTTATCCATGGTTGAATCAAGATTGCTATTCTTGCTATCTATTGGTAGGGTTCACTCCATGGTGGAGACAAAATGGGAAATATTTATCTTTTATTATTCAGATTCTGCATTCTACATTATAGGAAATACAAGAGCATAGATTTCATGTATAATGTATAATAATATGTAGTAAGGGTATAATGTAACTTCTTGATTCTGAGAAGGCTTCTCCAACTGAGAAACATATCTTCATTGTTTATACTAGCTGTAGCATTAGTTGTACAGCTTTGCTAGCTATATAAGCCATGCAATATGGAGGATACTGAGCAAAAAATTAATTAATATGAAATAAAGTGAAATTTATGTAAATACACTATATCTAATTTCACCAAATGGGACCCTGATGGTGCAGTGGGTTACACTTTGGCCTGTTAACTGTATGGTCAGTGTTTCAGATCCATCAATTGCTTCACTGGAGGATGGTAACCCTGTACAGGGTTTCTGAGGCTGTAAATCTTTACAGGAGCAGAAAACCTCATCTTTCTCCCACGGAACAGCTGGCAATTTTGAACTTGAGGTTAGCAGCCTCAGAAACACTATACAGGGTCGCTATGAGTCGGTATCCACTCCACAGAATACAACAACAAAAACAGCAAATTTCCTTAAATAGAATGTGAATTACCTTTTACTGCACTTGTTGTTAAGTACAGTCTAGTCGATTCTGACCCATAGCAACCCTGTATAGGGTTTCCGAGGAGCGGCTGATGAGTTTGAATTGCCAATCTCGCAGTTCAAACTGGCATTACAGTAGAGTGCTTATTTTACAGCGCCACTGCAAATATGTAAACTTTTGATATCATTACTGAAAAGTGTCCTGGTAGTGTAGTGTATTACAAGCTACAGTACCAACTACAAGATCAGCAGTTCATGTCTTCTGAGTCTCTTTGGGAGAAGATGCAGCTTTCTGCTCCCATAAAGATTTACAGCTTCAGAAACCCTATATCGGGTTGCTATAAGTCGGAACTGACTAGATAACACACTGCCATCATCATCATTTCTGAAAGTTCTGTGTATGTGTGTCTTTGACCGTGTGTGTGTGGTTTGGATGGTGATAGTTATGTACCGTGGAGTCGGAACCAACTCATAGCAACCCTGTACAGGGGGGTTTCAGAGGCTGTAAATCTTTACCGGAGCAGAAAGCTTTTTGTCTTTCTCTGGAGGAACAGCTGATAGTTTCGAACTGCTGACCTTGCAGTTTGCAGCCTGATTCGTAACCACTACGCTACCAGAGAGCTCCTTATGCATGGTTTAGTACTTGTAAAATAATACGTTTTTAATACTTACCTTTTCTTGTAATTCGGAAGGTCTTGATCTCTTTTTTTTTCCTGGCCGAGGTGGTTTTGGAAATGCCAGGGCAAAATGTTGCTGATTCCATGATTTTTTGCTTAATTCACTGACTAAAATAAAAAAAAAAAAAAAACCTCTTTGGAATTAGTGGTTCATATTTCATCAGACCTTAAATTGTAGTAAGCCAAATACATATTGTATAAATGTACAAACAAAAGTTTGCATTATAGCATAATTTATTTATGAATGTTTTAATACCTGCATCAGTATGAGAAAAATAAAACATAATATTTCTATTTTGACCAATTTTATAAATAACTATATAAACAGATTGCTGTGAAAACTAACAGCCTATAATAGAAAAGAGAAGAAGTATTTTTACTGGTTCCATTTAAATGTTTCCATCTCTTCCAGTTTAAATATTTTGCTTTATGTTGTTTTAATTAGAATGCAATTACATTGAAAGGATAAAATACGCCAATTACTCTGTAACCCCAAAAGTACTTACTATAATGCCTGGCATAAAGTACTCAGTAAATATATTATTGAATCTAAGTACTAATGTTTAAGATCCTCTTGGTCCTGGTATAGTGCTATGGGATAAAGCATTGGACCGCAAGGTTGGTTGGAACCACAAGGTCGGTGATTCAAAGTCACCAACCACTCCTTGGAAACCTTATACTATGAGTTGCAACTAACTTGATGAAACAAAAGAACAATAAATGTTACTAGTTATTTTTCCAAGAACTGCATTGTCACTGGTTGCTTATGAAGAAAATTAACAAAGTGTATTTACAGAATGGTGAATAGAAAGGTGAAGTTTCCTGGAAATTTAAGTTGAAATAGTTAAAAAGATTATGATTACCAACCAGACAAATCAGAGATAAGACTGTATATAAATATTTGGCATATTTTTGTGTGTAAAAAGAAAGAGGCTTATCCTGTAAAGCTCTTAAAGACAAATTAGAATCAGTGGGGAAATTTTACAAAAGGTCAGACAGAATTTAAAAATACATATGAGGGGAAACCACTTAACATTTAAGCTTGTCAACATCAAATTGACTTGACATGTGGAGCAATGAAACATTTTGTCAACAATAAACTATGTACAATCTATCAGGAATGTAGAAGAAATTCCTAATATCAATGGAATGTTGTAGCTTCAATTTCTATGTTGCTTTTTGTTCGTAAAAGAGCTGATTGTGTGAATTTTAATAATATTCCTTAGAAGGTTTGTTTTATGGCTTTAAATGAAGGAAATTTTTCACTTACTCCTAAAATTAATCACATATCTTTTTAAAATAAATAGAATTCTAAGTCATAGTTCTTACCTGGAATGTAATTATCATATGTTCCATAGTTTATTTTTCGGCTATTAAAACAAAAAGAAGATGTTTTAATGATTTTATACAGATTAATATATTTAAAGATTAATTTATGCACAAGTGTCTACCACCAACAGTAAGAAATATTTTGCATTTCAAATCTCCATTATTATGTAAAATTGCTTCATAAGAAAGTAGGGATTAAAAAAAATGTGTGTTTAATATAAATTTGAACACACTAAACCCTGGTGTATCAAAACAAGTACACACGCACACACATACCATACCCACACACAAACTGAACACACACACATACACCAATATATCTGGAGTGCATACTTCATTAAAAGAAAATTTTTTGAAGCTACAATTGATTTAATTTTTCTTCACTGCATATTCTAAATGATCTTGCAATTGAAATTCAACCAGCATAGTTGTTGAAAATATGATGCAAAGTCAGATCCTCCAAATATTAGAAACAAAATCAAATACAAAACATTAAATAGCATATATGTGTATATGTGGATGTATGTGTGTGCATAAGTAATGACATGAATTTAAAATTTTATATTCTATGTAAAAAGTTCAGATAACCTATATGACAAATTATTTGCCATTTAGAAGTTTATATTTATGTTAGTACTATATGAAAATGTTTACCCCTATAAATAAGATTGCTATAATCTAATTTTTCTTTATATTTAATGGAGGCAAATAATATGATCTGATAGAGAAAGATTACAGCACATTACACATTTTATTATGGATATGGTCGTGGATGATCACACATGAGTTGAACACTCATACATACATACACCAAAACCAAGTAAAAGAAACAAAGTAAAATTAAATATCTTAGCATCTTGATTAAAATTCTATTTCTTATCATAAAACCTCATACTGTTTTCTTTTGAAGATTCTAAGTTAATTCATTAAGATTTGGAATATGTTTTATAAATTAATTGATTGAAAAGATCAATAGTTGGGATAATGTTATCTGGTCTAGTGTTTTCTTAACTGAAGAAATGAAGAAAATTATTTGCTCCAATACACTGGAATCTCAAAGATTGTTTCCAGTCACTGCTGAAGAAATTTGGTTGAACATCCATGGTTATGAAGTGCTCTATTCTAAGTTTTGAAAGGGAAAATATTTGGAGTTCATGAAACACATTAATAAATGAGAATTTCCAAATGTCATTAGATCTGATTGATCAATACCTGGTATAATGTTTATATAGTCAATAGTAAAATTGCCTAGGAGGTATTCAAATATTTTTTAAAATATTTGAATAGACATTTATAGACTAGTTTTTGGTTTACAGAAAAGTTTTGCAAAAAATACATAGAGTTCCCCTCTGTCTCCTGCATTTATGTGGCAAAGTTTCTAAAGTAAAGGAATAACAAGAATAGCATGATATATAAAAATTTGGGAGCACAGCTAATTTGAACAGAGGATAATTTATTGCATTAGGGCCTGATACTGTTGTTGTTCTTGTTTTAATGTGTTGTCAGTTTGGTCCAACTCATTATCCATCCTGTATAGGGTTTCTGAGGAGCAGCTGTTAAGTTTGAACCACCGACCCTGCAGTTCAAACACACCTTGCAGTCCAGTGCATTATCCTGCAGTGCTAGAAAACAAGCTTAAAACCAGTATTTCCAGTTTCCACCTTAAAATTTAGGGAAATATAAACAAAGTAAAAGGAAGAAAATGATAATGATATAAGCCCAAATTAGTAAAAGATAAAACAGAAAATCAGAGCAAATTTAAAAATATTAAAGTCAAATTTTTACCAAGAAAAAAAAGAATAAGAGACTATCTACATACATTGACAAGTAGACATAATCTTGCGAAGATGTCAGTTCTCTCCAAATAGATTTATGTTGTTGTTGTCAAGTTATTGTCAATTTGGTTCCAACTTGCAATGTCCTTGCATAGGGTTTCCAAGGAGCAGTTGGTGGTTTTGAACCACTGACCTTAGACTAGCAGTTCAGGGCTTATACTATAATGTCACAGCAGGACTTTACATAAATTTATAAAATACATTTATAGAATCATACAATTCCAGTGAAATTCTCATTACACATTTTCTATAGAAATTAATAAGCTAAAAGGAACTAGAGTAGCCTGAGAAAAGATGAACTTTGTTGGAGATTGTAAGTTACCTGATTTCAAGACTTCCATAAGCCACATTAATCAAGACAAAGAGGTAAAAATGTAAATCTACAATAACAGAACAAAGGAACGCAGAATACTACTTATAACTACTTATAAACATATATTTATATGACCAACTGCTTTTGAAGAAATAGAAACAAAGCAATTACCAAACTCAATTCACTGCAGTCAGAGTCATGTCCAACTCAGAGACACCCTAATGGAATAGAGTAGCACTTCTCCATAGGATTTTAAAAGCTGCAAATATTTATGGAAGCAGGCTGCTCCATCTCTCTCTCTCATTTACGTTAGTGAGTTCTAACCAACCACCCACCTTTTGGTTAGCAGACCAACACTTGGCTCATTCTACCAGCAGGGCACCTATAAAGCAATTATTTGAGGGAATTATACTATTTAGATCCATACAATAAGCACTGGACTATGAACTATAAGTTTGGCAGTTGAAGCCCACCAGCCACTCCATGGGAGAAAGATAAGGCTTTCAGCTCTGTGGAAGATTTAAAACCTTGGAAATCTTATGCCAGGTAACTGAGTCAGAACTGACCTGATGGCATTTAACAACAAAAATCTAATACCAAATCTTGGTGAGATCTTCTTCCACTTCCTTCAGAAATATCATTCCCATTCAACATTAGAAATTGAAGAATTAAGTGTATCTCAACAAAAAGAAGAGGTAAAATTCTTAAGTGAGTTTGTGGAAGTTTGAATGGAACAAAGGTATTAAAGATGGAGGAAGACTCATTAACAACCTACGATATGCAGATGATACAACCTTGCTTGCTGAAAGTGAAGAGGACTTAAAACATTTACTGATGAAGATCAAAG